ACATTGCTAGAAGGGTTTAAAAACAATCTACCGTAAATACTGTAATAGTACCCCAGCCCCATAATGACGGTGCGGAGTGTTGCGTAGTCTAGCTTTGGACGCGTTTTAGGCCTAGGCCAGGTCCAAGTCCAGGTCAAGCTCAAGCTTAGGCCCAGGTCCAGGCCTAATCAAGATCCTGGCCTGGACCAGGCTCCACAACAAGTTCAGGCTAGATTTAGGCTAGGGTCAGTGCCAGCCTAGCCCAACTAGAAATATCCTTTAGAACAACCTACCGTAAATACTGTAATAGTACCCCAGCCCCATAATGACGGTGCGGAGTGTTGCGTAGTCTAGCTTTGAACGAGTTTTTCTCGACACTGGTTTATGCTACAATGCGCGCTTAGGTATCAAAAAATAGCCCTGAATTTCAGCTATTTTTTGATATTTAAACGAACACTGTAGCATAAACCAGTGTCGAGAAAAGCGCGTCCAAAGCTAGACTACGCAACACTCCGCACCGTCATTATGGGGCTGGGGTACTATTACAGTATTTACGGTAACTTGTTTCAATAAAACTAGGCTTAGGCAAGCTATGCTTTATCAAAAATGATGTGCTAAAGACGGTGTATTGATGAGAAAACATAAAACTAGCTTTTTCCTTCTATTTTTTAGTTATATTTTTAATTTAAGTAATTAATAAGGTTCTGTGATTGATTAGAGATTTCTGCAACTAAACCTTTTTAAATTTGTCTTACGATTTGATCAAGCTCTCAAAAGAATTCAAACTTGCCTTTGCTTTTTGCCAAGTGCCAAGCAACACTTGTTTTTTATCTAAACAGCTTCATGTTCAGTGTAGTATACGTTTTTATTGACCGAGAATCAGCTGTAAGTGATCAAAAGCTGTTGATATAAATTCTGGAACATTATAGCCTATGTTTCTATATTGTTGTAGCCAAAGAACATGGATTAAGAAGAGTCAAGAACATGGATATGTATTAAGTAGGGGGGAAAATCTTCCATAGTTGCTTTTGCTTTTACTCTAATAATCTAAAAAACAGCTGAGATCATAAATTTTGCATTATACTAATTCCAGTATACTTGGAAATTGTTTGTCCCCAAATTCTTCACCAAGTTGTTGCAAGATCGGGTCGAGGGTCGGGTAGAGGGATAGGTGATATCAAGGGGAATCATTCTCGAGGTCGATCCTCCCTTCTCTTGAGACTGATTGAGGAGTGCGAGGAGGATCTCTCTCGCAACAAAAGAAAGCAAAAAGAGGGCAATCAGTGCTGAGGAATGAGGTGAGTTCTTTCGGAGCTGAGCCCATCTCTTTTGATGATTCTTTTGGAAAGAGGAGAAAGGTATTGAGGTTGTTTGTGATTGTCGTATCATAGCTATTTATCAATGCAACTGTTTACAGTTTTGTTGCAAAAAGAAAGATTCGATAATAGTCAGTAAATGGGATGGGCTGGCTTAGATCAAAAACAGATTCAAGCTTTGTTCGAGGATTGATTGAAAAAAGAAATGAACGGCAAAGAAGGAACTGAGGGGAATTGAACCCTCGACCTGCTGCTCACCAGGCAGCTCTACCAGTCAGCGCTTCATTTAGCAAAGAAAAAAATAGGAAACATAAGGAAGAAAGAGAAGGAAATATCCGGGCCATTATTACCAGCCGAAAAACCTGCCGGATTTTACACGCTGAAGATTTTGATGACGATTTTGAAGGCGATTTTGATAGCGCAGTCGGCAACGCGCTTGTCTACGACTCGGGCTTGACCGATTCGATCCCTATAGCTCCATTGTTTGTTTTTTTTGATGGCACAACTATACGGAATAAGGAAAGAACAATATTTGCTAGTTATTTCCTTATTCCTTCATCTCTTGTACCCCACCTTTCTCCTCCAAATTGACTATCAATCCCCACTCCGCGATCCCCTCAACATTCCCCGGATTGCCCTCTTTTTCTCTATGAGGTTGTCAAGAGTCTCGTGGAGAACGGGGTTTTCCTTGAAATCCTTTTCTCGACCATTTACTCACTAATGAAAGTTAATTCAACTTCATTTTCGTGGAGAGAATGACTGAAAACTCTTGGAGCTCTTGAGAGAACTTTTTTTTTGAAAACACGAAGAAATCTGACTCAACTGAACTCAAAAATCATAATTATTTTGCAATTTACAAAGAAAAATCGTCCTTTAAGCCTGTTTTTGGGTAAAAACTTTAATCTTAAACCGATCTTTCCGATTTCCGACTGGTGAATAGTCTTTCGGAATAATCTTGGTCAAGCGGTTAGCTTTGATCTCAAATTTTTCAACAAAATCAACGAGATTCGAATATTGTTGTGACACTTTGGAAGAAAGGAGAGCCTGTAAGTCTGTAAGCCTGTAAAGAACCATTTTTAGTATCCACAAAGGGTAAACGAGCCGGTCAATCAAAGAAAAAGAGTCAACTCAATTATCGCTCGGAGATCGACTTTCCCGATATGTGGTCGGCATTTTTGAAGTGATAAAATAGAAAGTTTCTTGTCGAATATATATTTTTAATTGATTTTAACTTTTTTTGACTTAAATAATTATCCTATTTTGTGAAAATTCATTAGTAATTTAACTCCAAAAGTAACACAACAATTTGACCGCATTTGAAGCCAAAATTTCTGTGAGATCAAGCCTCTTTACCAAATTAACTCTAATCTCCAGCATCTTTTTATTAGTTTACTAATGATACTGCTTATTTAAGTATTACCTATAGTTTTACAAGTTTCTACAAGCCAAAGTAGCTATTGTAGCAGGCGTAGCTTAAAACTTTGTTGTTTTCAAATGCACATATGACCAGTGGCTTTTGTGACGCGAAAAATTATTGAATTTTTCTCTCTGACTCAAAAACGGAAAGGAGTATTAGAAACTAGACAAATTTTAAATGCTTTCTATCAAAATAGTTTAATCATTAATATTCTCAATTATTTAGAAAGTTAAGATTTAAGATAGACTTTTAAAATCCTCATTTTAGCAGACTGAATGTTAGTGAGCAGTAAAAAATGAATGCAAATTTAGCCCTTAAAACTTAAAGAGAGCAAAGAAAACAGTTTAAATTTGATTTTTAATCATTCATTATGTTTCTAAAGCCAAAATAGACATTTTTGTAAGGAGTTTTTCCAAAAATATTGGGTTGGTGAATTGAAAACTGCCGGCTATTGTCGTATGTGACAGTTTGAGCACTTTCTTCAAAAGAAACCCATTTTGGTGTCAATGGAAAAGTTGTAGAGAATCAAAAATTAAGCTTATAGCCAAAGTTTCAGAACGATTCAAAAACTGGTTTTCAAGCAATGCCAAATTTACGAATTTTCACAAAACTTGCAACAAAACCTGCATTTTAAGCGAAACTACTAAGTGTATCTTTTTGGAAATTTGGCTATAAGCCTGATTTTTGATTCTCTACAACTTTTCTATTGACACCAAAATGGGTTTCTTTTGAAGAAAGTGCTCAAACTGGGACATCTCCAGTCCTCCATTTTTGAGTCTCACACTTGTCTCACACACAAACCAAAATCCTACTACGAAAGAGGGCTCCGCAAATTGCCTGTAAAATGGGCAAAAGTCGTCAATAATAATGGAAATTATTTGGAATGAATTCATGGTTTTATGTTGAATAAATTTTAGTTCAAATTCCCGCAGTTTTCAATTCATCAACCCAATAGTTTCCTGATGCACTTTCTTCTAGAGTTTTCTAAGATTTAGTGTTGTTAGATTGAAAACGATGCTCTTTACATAGAAAGTATTCAAATTTTTTTTAAAATAACAGCTTTACAGTATTCTTTTTATCAAAAGATTGGCAAAAAATGAAAGATTCAACAAAAATCCTTCGTTATTTCTGCAATTGAACTATAAAAAGCCAAACACTATCTATTTTCTACAGTTGCAATCTCTTGAGAGTCTCCTTTAGTTATTCTGATAGATTGCAACTCTTTGGTCTTGAAATCTTTGGCCTTAAAATGTTGCACTAACGCCGCCTTATCATCGATTTAGTGGAATGCTTTAAAATTGTTAAAGGCATTCATCCTAACTCCCTTTTTTCTGGTCCTGAATTCGGCTTTCTACTCCAGAAGCCTCCAGAAGCCTCCAGAAGCCTCCAGAAGCCTCCAGAAGCCTCCAGAAGCCTCCAGAAGCCTCCAGAAGCCTCCAGAAGGCCTTTTCTCATACCTTCCATACCTCATATCTTTCCTCTAAAAGCTCCCATTTCTTTTTTAATCGAGTTATTAAATTGTGGAACCTTTTATCCATAATGTTCGTGATATTCTCACCTTGGCTAGATTCTTGAGATTCCCACCACTAGATTTGAATTCGGTTCCCTACTCCAGAAGCCCTTTTCTCATACGCCAACCTTCCGTTTCCTCTAAAAGCCCCCACAGTTCCTTTTTTAACCGACCTATTAAATTCTGGAACATTTTACTCCCTCATGTTCGTGATAATCCCAACCTACGTGAGCTTTCGACCTTACCTAGATTCGAATTCGGCTCTCTACTCCAGAAGTCTCCAGAAGCCCTTTGGCTAGATTTAAAACCTCAATTTCAGCAATTCATTTGACTACCCTGTGATTCTTTCTTGAGGTATCTATTCATCTTTTGGGTGTGTTTTGAGTGGTGTCCCGGGTAATTATTGTGATTTTGTTTTGTCGCTATTCAACTGAATAAAGCATATATATTACAGTATTCTTTTTATCAAAAGATTCAACAAAAATCCTTCGTTATTTCTGCAATTAAACTATAAAAAGCCAAATACTATCTATTTTCTATAGTTCTATTCTCAATAGATTGCTCTCTTGAGAATTTTATATTCTATATTTTCATAGACTTCAATATTTATTTGAGGCAATGGTTTAAGACAAAAAAACCTGGACTTTGAAAGAAAAGATCACATCGTTTTGTACAAGGCGTAAGAAATTAAGGCACAGAGCGGAGTTAAGGAAATAGACCGGTATCGATGTGTCAGGAAATAATGTAAAATAGATTAAAAAACAAAACACAAAACTTAATCACTAATATCATCAGAGATTTCTCCACCACTCGGCATGAAGAGTCGCAAGCCTCTGCGTGGAGCGCCTGGCATGCCAGTGGTCCCATTCTGAATGTGCGTTTTCTTGTGGCGCAACAGGTTGTCCTTTCGATTGAATCTGAAATGCGAATTGCTTTTCTTGATGAAGATTTGAAGATATTGCTGAAAAGCTCAAACATCTAGGTGAAACACTCAATTTTCGATAACAGTAGTCAGAAGCTAGTTCAATGTTGCTTAGATCGGACATTATAAGAAGTTTTGTTTAGCTAATGGAAATCTAGATGTTTTCAGTTCTTCCAGAAGAATGTTTCAGCATATTCATGGGGCTCAGGCCCAGGCTCTGACCTAGAGGGGACTCAGGGTCCAGACTCAAGTTCGGGGTCCAGGTCCAGGCACAGGCCTAGAGGAGACTCAGGGTCCAGGCTCAGGTTCAGGATCCAGGCCCAGGCTCTGACCTAGAGGGGACTCAGGGTCCAGACTCAAGTTCGGGGTCCAGACTCAGGCCTAAACCTAAGCCCAAACCCAAATAGATTTAGTGCCTTGCTAGAGCCAAATAGACTTGCTAGCCTTTGCACTAATTCCAAGCCTAGACCAGCCCGAACCAACCCAGAATAAGGAATCTAGCTCCTGATTTGAGCCAAGACTTTGGGTTCGATACAGGAAAAGATGGCTTTGATAAAACCAATAAATAGCTTCTACAGATATCTACAAAGATAGCTACAAATCTTTGGAACAGTCTGACTTAACATTACCCAAATAACAATACCAAGGTCACTTTCTATTATCTTTGTCCTAAAATACCACTTTATATCTTAATTTCAAAGCCAACTCAATAAGTGCTACAAATAATTGATTGTTTCTGTTCATAGACTTTGTTATTCACTTTTGGTGCAAATTGGTGGACAGGGTTGACGTTTCCAGGGTGAATTGGGGTGCAATTGATGGATTGAATTTCACCACCGCAACACTCTCACTCATTTTATTGGAGATTGAGTGATCTACTCAATTTATTGTGGGGGAAGTCCGCGAAAAAACTCCTATTCCAGTCTCTTTAGGCCTATCGACGAGCGCGATCAGACCCATTTGTTAGAAAGGAACTTGAACTGTCACTAAGTATGGAAAAAGGAAAAGAGAAAAAGAGAGGCTATGTGTTGGGGTCGTTCCAAGGACGAGAGAGGGAAAGAAGTGGAGTACTCACTACTGTATCAAAGTGGATTTGTTATCGTTGTTACTGTGATCTTGTTAGAAAGACAGGCTCAAGCTCAGGCTTAGGCTTACTGCAAAAGCTAGCGGTTAGCGCCAGCAAATCTATTTGGGTTTGGGCTTAGGCTCAGGCTTAGGCTTAGGTTTAGGGTTGTTCTAAACGAACCTCAGCACTTGTTCTAACCGGGCCTTAGAACTTGTTGGTCAAATCAAACTAGAGTCTAGGTCCAGATCTGGCTCAAATCTAGGGTAGGCCAGGATTGCAAAGCCGACCTAGCCCCTAGCCTACCTGTAAATCCTGGCTAAGAAAATGTCTTTAGAACAATTCTGTTGTTCACATTGGTTCTCTTGGATCCTTTACATTGTTGAAACAGAAACCCAGTTGACTATTTGACTGATTCTTATCTACAAACAAGTACCAGGCTTGTACCAGAAGTACCAGGCTTATACCAGAAGTACCAAGCTTGTACCAGAAGTACCAGATTGAGATAGTCTAGCTAGTCTAGCCAAAAAATGTTTCAGTAACTTGATTTCAGTAGAACTTAAAGATCTTATCGACTTGATCGAGTCCGCGAAAAAAGTTTTGCTTCAATATCTACGATCTCATCAAAATCATTTGTCTTTAGGTGTCGCTCAATAGTGGTCGAAAATGGAAATGGTGGGGGAAATCTGTCACCAATCTAGGGTGAGATGGTCAACAAAAACGATGACAAATTTTGGGTTGATTTGGAAAGATGGAAAGATGATCTCAGGAAATGGCTAAACTTTGTTACTTCAAGGTTACTCTAGATTAAGTTTAGATTTACTTTACAGTACTTTACAGTACTTTACAGCACTTTACAGTACTTTACAGCACTTTACAGTACTTTACAGTACTTTACAGTACTTAGACTCAAGTTAAAACAGTTTAAAAGCCATTTTTCTAGAACAAACCTTTTAGTGCAATACGGACAAGCATGAGGCCGAAGCCCAGTGTGGATGAACATGTGTTTCTTGAGGAGGAATTTGTTTGCAAAACGCTTCGAGCAATTTGGCTGGCTGCACACGTAAGGCTTTTCTGGAAATAGTTGGGAAATCTTACAAAAATCTCATGTCCACTCACCAGCATTGTTTTCTGTAGCCGAATCCCCATCGTCTTTCATCTCTTCAGATGGAGAAGGGCTTCCATCATTGCTCTCTTTCTCCAGCTCGTCCTCATCTTCTTTCTTTGGCTCCTCTTTACTGAAATTTTAGGCATAGCTTTGGTGCTCTATTTTCAAAAGTGTTTAAGGAGATAAGTGTTTGAGACAAGGCTGAGGCTTCAAGCAACTAGGCTCTAAGGAGCTCTAGGATCTAACAAACTGGCTTAAAGCTAAATCGCTTCAAATCTACCTTCTACGTTGAACAAATTCTAAATTTACGAGCTCAAATTTAGAGTAAAATTGGAATGCCTATTGGAAATCAAGCGAGTCAACTAGAAAGCTCTGCGAAACCAGTTCTCCATCAATTTTTTTAAGATCTTCTTAAAGTTCCACTCAGAAATCCAGAAACTTTTCCCTATTTTCCGTCCTAATTTGGAAAAGAATGACTGGATCATCAATTTCCACCTCCTAACGAGGTAATGAATGACTTTGGAATGTAGGGGAATGAGGAGAAAGAAAGGAAAAGGAAAGGAAAGGATAAGGGATTGATTGAACGAGTCTTGAAATGAACCGGGCTTGAAAAAATTGGAAAATAAGGTTTGAAAACGTTTTCGTGAGGTGATACTGTGGGATGGATTTGATTGGGAAATTGGGGACAAACTGAGGCTTGTACAAAGAGTACCACAAAGTCAAACGTACATTGTTGGAGTTGGGACAGTGTTCCTCAAGTTGTTCAACTGTTGTGACCATCCAGAGAACAGGTGCGATTGTTGCTGTTGTTGAAGGAGACGAAGCATATTCAAATAGGCCTGAGCATCGACCATTCCATCTAAAATTGACCATTCCATCTATGAAATTAGCTGTAAAAACTTGTCTTAAACTGTTGAGATTGTCTAATTGTTAGAATAAAGTCTCTCACTCAAGAACTCACTCAAGAACGGGGTTCGATTTAAACCGGGAGCGATTTGTGGGATCAATGACGTCATCGGTTGGCCGAGGGTTGGAGTTGGGATTGGAGTGAAGGAGGTGGATTTGGCGGGTGGTTCACTCTGAAAATCAGTTTATCGTTTAGTTATCAATTCATATCAAATTTAATCTATTCATCTATCCATGCAATTTAAAAGAAATTGGCAAGAAAAAGTCGATTTCCTGAGAGAGGATTGAACTCACCTTTTGCTTAGGCAATTGCTTTAACCACTGAGCAATTCAGTACCTTAACTTGCCAAGAGAAAGAAGGAAAGACAAGGGGAAGAAGAAGAAGAAGAAAGAAAGAAAGAAAGAAAATAATCATGATTTATTGTACAACAATATCTATTTCAAAATCCGACCGAATTGGACTTGATTTTAATTCAAATTATCATCTAATTATGCCTTTCTAACTAATTTGATAGTTAAATTTGACCGTACCTCAGTTATCCTCCTATCACTAAGCCTCTTCAACGCTGCATCCAAACTCCGACTCGCCATTTTTCTCTTCTTATTCCCAACTTCCATCGACATTTCATAAGACGAGGGAATCGGTGACTCTTTTGGCGAGGTGCTGGCCTGAATGCTAATGAATAGAAATCGATCAATATTACTCAGAAAGGGGACTGTTTCTGATCAAAAAAAATCTTTTGATAGTAAAGTAATACCGCTTCACTATTGGCTGACGAGCAAGTGGTGGTTGTTGCAGCTTCGGGACTAGCGGCGTTCACCTCAAGGTTTTGGCGGCAAAATGGAGTGACTACATCGGAAGATAAACTGAAGGGAAATTTGTGAATTTTGGAGAGAATTTGAAATATTCTGAATGAGGAAAGAGCTGAGGAAAGAGCTGACTCTCTAGTGTAGAATTCACTTCACAATTTGACTCACTTTGAATTCTGTTGATCGTTCGGGAGATTCTTTGAGAGAGTGGCCTCATTTTGAGATCTAAATGGATTGTATATTTTAAAATTAGGACTAAATTAGAACTGAACTAAAAGACTATGACTTTAGCGTTAGAAAACGTTAGAACTTATCGTTAAACTCTATTAAGAAAAGCAGAAATATAATAGTTAAATGTATCCACAACTTTCCTCAACCAACCTCTGACTATTTTCTTCTTCCCACTCTTTCCGCACCAACTCCATCTTTCTATGTTCTTGACTGGCGATCACCATCGGCAATTCACTCAAATCCGCAACGGCAAATGTTGGCAAAATTCCTTTATTGTCAGCGAGATCGAAGAGATCAACGAATTTGACGGAATGCGAAATATTTTGTACGCCTAGTCTCGTTTCAATCACTTTTCGAGCGTCCAAAATTTGTTTCGGAGCAAAGTGATCGTTAATGATTCGTTCAATCAATGGATGCTCTCTAAAAGTTCGCAGAAAAGTCAATAAAGAGTTGACAATGACGGGTTGATCCATGAGTTGAGTAAATTTGTAGCAATGACAGGGACAAGGCAATGACAGAGGCAATGACAGGGGCAAGGCAATGACAGGGACAAGGCAATGGCAATTTGTGGCAAGGAATTAAGTAATCAGAGTAGCTAATTCAGTATAATTTAGAGATAGAATTGCGGGATGAGGCGTGAAATGGAGTTCGCGGGGTGTTTGCGAGTCTCGAGGAGGGAGATCGTCCCCTTTTGGGGTTGTGGCTGTCAGGAGGGCTCTCTCTTGCCTCTATAAGTGGGTGGGGTCTCACTCTTCCTTGAGGAGGGATCGCCCATCCCCCATTGGCCCGTCTCTTTCCGTCTTTCTTTCCACCTTTTCCCCCAATCAACCTCGGAAAAAAATACTGATATCTCTACTCAGCCTCATCACTTTCTACATCAAGATAACCAAAATATGACCAAATTTCCACCTAGAATCATTTCAAGATTGGGGAAATGAACAAATGGCGATTTTTTTGACTCTTTAAACTTTTGATACTAAAGTTTTTTGAGTTTAAAGAGTTTCAAAGAGAATCTGAATCAGATTCCGGCAATCCAGAGCTAAAAAAAGTTCCCTTTTAATCGAAAATTGTGTCTGCATCAAATTTAAGTACTTTGGCTTAGAGATCTAGTTCAAGTTTTCGTTTTCGTTAATCTGTAAGCCATTGGTTAAAGATCAAGATCAGAAGAAGAACAGAATGCCGTTGAAATTGTACTTTTTGAACTAGATCTCTGACCCAGACTACTGAAATTTGAAATACAATTTTAGACAAAACGGAAACTAGAAAAAACGCGTTTATCAAAGTTTATGACAAAATTGTCTTTCAGGAAAAAACAAAACGTTAGAATAAGATTTTATCACAAAGATTGAGCCTCGATTCTTTCAGGGAAGAAGGCATAAAAGCGACTGTGAATGTGTGAGAAAAGGACATGCCATTGAAAGAAGAAATGTAAGAGAAAAGAAAGAGAAAAGAGCTGAAAAGGGACTATAGGGCATCCGTGTGACGAAGCTTTTGAGGGAAAGTGAATAGGAATAGGCAAAAAAAAGAGGGACATCCATTTGGGACGAATATATCAGAAATCGATTGTGAGTGAAGAGGGGGAAAGGGGAAGAGATGCCGATCGGGTGAGTGAGTTCCCCTTTACATACACATAAGGAATATTGAGTTGGGGAAAGGGGAAAATAGAAAACAGAATGATTCTGTAGAATTTCTTACTGTATTGAAGCTTACTGTATGAGCTCTACAGTTAGAGGCTAGACCTGTAGCTTGAGGATAAAGTGAGCCAGTGTAGGTTTATTTGACTAGGAAAGTACCCTAGCTCGCCATCGACGATCGCCAGACGCCAAGAATGGTCACTGACAATCGCCAGACGCCAAGAATGATCACTGAAGTTATAGAAGTTAAGAAGAAGTTAGAAGTTAAGAAGTTATAGAACCGATTAAGCTGACCAAAATACCGAAAAACTAGCTACTCACACTTATTTGAGGTATTTAACAAGCGAGATATTTGCCACAGAAGTTTTCAACATCTCGGTTAAAAAGCTTTTCTCGAGGGTCGCTGGTAGGTGGTGGTCTAGTGGATAAGGTGCTCGTCTACAAAGCCAGCCATTCAATGCCTGCCCGGGTTCGAATCCTGGCGTCGGAAGTTTCTTTACTTTTTTGATTCTAACGAAACTAATACAAAGTATACCTTGTTTTTTCATCGTCTCTTAAGAAAAAAAGAAGATTAATTAAGTGATTAATAATATAGAATAAAGAATTAATATACAATAAAGAAGATTAACCAAATAAAGAAGATTAACCAAGAGAAAAAATTGAAAATTGTGGTTTGAGATTTGTTTGGTTCAAACGGTTGAGAATGTTTATAGGATTGACGCTACAAGCTGAAGCGCTGAGATTTACAGGCTGAGATTTACGAACGCTTACAGGACTAAACCGGACTGATTGAACCTAGCAATCCACTATCGCATTAACTTTTCCGAAGGACATATCAACCAAAATTTCAACGGCATTCTGTTCTTCTTCTGATCTTGATCTTGGCTTACAGATTACCAATGGCTTACAGCCAATCTTGGCTTACCAATGGCTTACAGATTAACGAGAACTTGTCAACTAACTTTTGACTAACGACTAACGACTAACTTTTGGCACAGAAACTATTTTATCATCAGATCCCTTTTAGAAAAGATCTATCATCAGATCCCTTTTAGAAAAGTGATTGATTTGAAATCCCATTGTCCTGATCCCATGCAATCAACCCGAAAATATCAATATTTTCCCCTGACGCGTCCCACCCGGATTTCAACAATCAGAGACACAAAAGGGCGATTCACGGCCAATACACAACGAACAACCCCATTTTACACATCGGTTGTTTCCCCAAGAATTCTACTTTAAAATTGCGCGAGGCCATTGAAGCAACACTCGTGCTAACATTTCGTCAACATTTAGTCACTGGATTTCCAAAAACAAAGAGAAGTCTTAGATTTTAAAGAAATTTTACAGAAATTTCATAAACGCATTTCATTTTGGTTAACTTTTGATCTCGTGAGGGGAAATGGGGTATCTCAGATTTGTTTCTCGCAAAAAAGGTGAGAGCCAATGCTTGCAGACGAGTGAAATGAGGGATATCCCGCGTTATCAAATGCCGAGGTCAACCTCTAGACGAGAAAACTCATTTGAAAAATTGAGTTTACCTATGTAGGAGAAAAAGTGAGTAAATAGGTAAAGAGATAGCTTTTATTTTGAGGTATTTTTTCAGTAGTTTATTCTGGGGTCGCTATTCCATTTTTGGGGCTATTCCATTCCAAAGCTATTCCATTTCTGGGCTAAGATTGGCAATTAAGAGCTAAGCCAAGTCAAAACAAAGCCCAAGGCTTTCAATTGACGTTGGAGTTGGCCAATTTTGCCCAAAAAACATAGGCTTTTGGTCAAATTTGGTTTGGGTTGCTGGAAATTCGTCTCTTTTGCCAAAGCTTTTGTAGCCTGGCTTCTCGACTTTTGTACCGGGATTTGAGTTCACAAAGTTCGTTTTCAAACCAGCCGAAAAACTCGCCTAACGGCGTTTTTCTGGTTTTTCTGGCTGCAGGGTTTCGGGTTGCCGTGGTGCAGTCGAGAGCGCGGTTGTCTACGGCCCACACGGTCCAGGTTTGCCTGGGTTCGACCCCCCCATAGTGCACTTCACTTTGTTATTTCCAATTTTTTGGTTTTAAATGGCATAACTATATTATACCAGCCGAAAAGCCAAGCTAACAGCGGGCTTTTATTGCTGGGGGCTTTGAGGGTGACGCGTAGTCGCGGCGCAGTCGGGAGAGCGGTTGTCTACGGCCCACACGTTCCTGATTCGCACGGGTTCGACCCCCCCGTAGTGCCACTCAATTGATTTTTTAAATTCTTTATCTTAAAAGCCACAACTACAATGTTTTCTAAAGGTTTTCTAAAGAAGTTTTAGCTTTATAGTCAAAACCCAGCCGGGAAAATGCCTGTACAGACAGACAGACAGACGGACAGACACTGCTCTTTTATATCTAATAAATTATCCTAAGATTATGACTTAAAATCTAAATATCAACTTTTTTAGATTATAAAACACTCAGTTAAACCAATATAGTATTTTCGAGGATTGCCAAAGCTTATGCAAGAAAAACTGACTCTCAAAAAGTGTAGATAATCAAAATTTGTTTTAATTACTTTCTCCTGTAATTTTCTTAATCCACAAAACGAATGATTCACAGCGAAAACTCAATTCACAAGCACATTTCCAATAATCTTGACCCTACCCTCGAGATCGGCGCGAAAAAAAAAACCGGGGTTCCATTTACCGCAATCTATCACCACTCGAAAATCAAAAGAGGAGAGAGGGCTGAATTCCGTCTCAAATTTTCGCCCAAGTGAAACTCGCAATGATAGGCCTATCATTGCGAGATCCGGGCACATTTTCACATTTTTTCGTCGGCGGAGGTTTTGGGGGAGAGTTGGGAGAGTTGCCCTCTCGCCATACATCACCTCTCACCCCTACCGAGGTCAGTTCTCCGCAGATTTTCCCCCAATCCCTCCCTCTGATTATCAATGTGAACCGCGCGCTCGGCCAGTCTCTAGAATTGCTCAAAAAAGATTTGCGACATTTTTTTACGAGAACGGAGGTAGAAAAGGAGTTGTTAGAGTTCATAGAGGCAATCCTCTGCATCCTCTGCCCTTGGATCAATCCCGATGATGGATGACACCGGCAGAAAAGGAGGGGGAAAGGAGGCGAGATCGGTTATTGCCACACACTTTTCGAGTCAGATACGGTACTTATCGAGGGAGTTTTTTTTTGGTTTTATCATCGTTTCATCATCATTTCGAGAAAATTTGTGGTTGAATATTATATTGAGAGACGAAATCTAAATATATAGCTGCTTACAAAAGCTGCCTACAAAAGCTGCCTACAAAACAAAAGCCTACAAGCTGTGCTTACAGTTGAAAGCCTTCTACAAGACTTTAAGATCTACAAGTCCACAAGACTTTAAGACCTACCTGCTATAAGACTTTATAATGAAATCAGGAGAGATGCTCGAGTCTACAGACCAGTGAGCAATCAAAAACTAGATTAAAACTGGTACTTTATCTTAGAACAACCTTTGGTGGCCATGATCGACTGGCTAAGAGCTCTGTATCTTAATCGGGAGGTCAAGAGTTCAATCCTGCCGGCAATTTGACTTGTAGACTCTGTTTCTCATAGTATATCTAAGCTTGGAACTGTTTGCGACTCCAGTTTTCAGCTTGGGACAAGATTAGTTGATTTTCAAGACCTATTTAAGTCTATTGAAGCCTATTGAAGCCTATTGAAGCCTATTGAAGCCTACTGAAGCCTACTGAAGCCTATTGAAGCCTATTGAAGCCTATTGAAGTCTGTTGAAGTCTATTGAAGCCCATTGAAGCCTATTGAAGTCTATTGAAGTCTATTCAAGCCTATTCAAGCCTATTCAAGCCTATTCAAACCTATTCAAGCCTAT